ATCTTTGTTGGTATGTGGTGCTGAGGATCGAACCCAGGCCGCACGCATGCCAGGCAAGCGCGCTACCGCTTGAGCCACATCCCCAGCCCCCTCTATTTTATTTTTGATAAGATAGTGAGAGTTTAACTTGCKTCTGGTCCTTGGTAATATAACCATGTCCATGTTGGAAACACTAACTTAATACTCTGAAATAGGGCCTTTGGTCCACCACAAACCTGAATATAAGGTCAACAACTCACATCCCACCAGATGCACTAACCTTGTACAGTACCATATCAGCTCAAGTCTTTGTATCTTTTCATCTTATTAGTGCAAAATTATTGGCCCATTATCCAAAGCTTACCATTATCCATTTGTTCTGCTCCTTTTACTTCTTGGGCCTCTTCTTCCTCGGACTCTGCTCCACTATCACTGCTTTCAGCTTTACCATTAACAGTCTTAGCATTTGGAGTAGAAGTTAGAACATTACCAAGATCTAAAACATGAAATGACCACTTAATCATTAATGTGGTAATATATGATAATTCTGTACTTTATAACTAATAAAATAATTTTGAATTAGAATAGTAGAATTTTATAGATAATTAACAGTATTCTTTTTTACTCCAAATACAAACTTATATAGGCAAATTCCTTCCATTATTAAGTTTAAAACAAAAATGATAAAGCTATCTTAATTCCTTTATGGGCAAGGAGATAATAAATTACTTTTAAGTTAACATCAATCAAAACAGTAAAGTTAGAGATAAACAGTCTTCTTCAAACATATTAAATAAAGAGATACTATAGCACCTGAAAACATTAGTATGCTATTTTTGACCCTACCAACAATCTCATCAATATTTTAGTTGGAAGCTGGGCACAGTTATAACATAACAACTATAATCCCAGTTACTCTGGAGATTGAAGAAGATCGCAAATTTGAGGACAGCCACAGCAACTTGAGGAGACCCTGTCTCGAAATAAAATAAAAAGGGCTGCTGATGTAACTTAGTGGTGGAGTGTACCTGGGTTCAACCACCAGTACAAAAAAAAAAAAAAACCTGTAATTCAATTCGATTTAAACAATTTTTCCCCTTATTATCTTGAGGATTTCAGGTACACAACTCACATTCTTATGTATTAATTATAACACACAAGAATTTCCTTAAAGCATCAATTAATGTAATGTGATCTCAAAGCAGCAAATTGTTGTCTTGGCCAAAGTTAAGCCCTCAGTGTAAATGTATCAAAACTTCTTCTCAAACTATAACATGCATAATCAACTAAAATCTACTTAAGATACATATTCTGAATCAGTAGGTCTGAGGGACTCTAAAATTCTGCATTTCTATAAAGTTCCCATGTGTTGCCAATGTTTTCGGACCACATTTTGAGGAACACAGAACACCATTTTCATCAACTCTTTTTTTAAAGAGACTAAAGTCTTCTTAGAAGGCCAAAAGAAGTAATTTTCCTTCATACACTTTTGGGCTTTATTTTCTGTGAAATGAATGCATTTTGGGTGCTTCTCTGCATCCCAAATAGTATATTAAATTCCAAAACATCATACACCTTAAACAATCAGGCCTATATTTTTATTTAAGCCTACCTAATTAAAGGAACAACAGAACAAAAATTTAACTCTATTATTACAAAATCATGGCAGCAGCAGCATATATTTTTTGTTTGTTTCTTTTTATGGTGCCGGGACCAAACCTAGGACCTTGCACATGCTAAGTAAACAGTATTCTACCACTAAACTGCATCCCAAGCCTGAAGTATTGTATTATGTACTTTTTTTTTTTCCCCCCCAGTGCTGGGAGTCAAACCTAAGACCTTGTACATGCTAGGCATGGAAACAGCATAGTTTCTAAATCTCTCTGACAACCAGAAAAAGGAAGAACAACAAATTTAAATAGCCAAGAAACTACCCACCCATGAATATCTTCAATAAAATGTAAATACGAATCACCTAAACCCCCATTAAATGGATAGTTGTAACAGAACTACTTCACAGCAGTAATAGCAGTCTCATTACAGTTCTGTGATGAACTACAAAAAGTAAATTACTCTTGAGGCCAACTCAACATCCAAAAACCAATTAATGCAATATACCATATTAACAGATTAAAGGACAAAAGTCACATGATTATCACAATACATGAAGAAAAAAACTGAACAAATCCTATTCTCTTCATGGTAAAAGTGCTAGAGAAACTAAGAATACAAGGGTATTTCCTCAATCTGATAAAAGACTTTGGAAAAATTAGGATCATATTTAATGTTAGTAAACTCCTAAAATAAGGTACAAGACAAACAAATGGAGAACTTATACTTTCACATTTTGAAACTTATTACATATGTAYATTCTGAAAAAGACCATGTGAAACTGATATATCTGTTCCACTGGGTTTAAATGTCTACTTTAAAGAGGATGCTTTGTTTGGGAAAAAAAAAGGAGTCAAGATTGCAATTGGCCTGAAATTTGGCAATTCTTACAAGATTACAAACACTTCTTATCTCACTTCTAATATTGTTTCTTACAAACATACTTTCAATATGTAAAATATCATGTACCTAGTTAGTTACTCTCAAAAGCTTCTGAAGATCAAAAAGAGAAAATCATCTAAATAGCCATCAGAATGGTCCAAGTTAAATACATTACAGTGTAGGTCACAATTCCTTATTTGGATTCAGAAATTTTTTAATTTTGCAAATATACATGACATAGTATGTTATATAATACTTCCTATGTGGAATCTCAAACAGATCACTAAAAATAATAACATAATTATTATTTTTATATAACAATATAATCATTTTTTCAGGAAAATATGTTAGTCACACTGAATCATATAAAGAATCAAAATACCCTCATGTCATTTCAGATAAGGTTCTATTCCACAATGAGTTCATATGAGGTCAGGCTTTTATACCAAATGAGTTACAAAACAACCTTAGGTTTTCAAAGCTTTGGAGATTAATAAATTAAAGGAAAGTAATTAGTCCTGCGCACTTATAACTATCATTTACTCTTCCTTGTTTTGTACTTTATTATTCAAGAATGCTTCTGGCCAGTAGATTAGACACTACTGAAATAGGTCAAAATTTCCACCTGCATTCTAACAGTATGCTTGATACAGAAAACATTYAAGTTTTTTTCCTCAGCTTAATAAGCATAAAGTATAAAGAGAATTATTAATATTTGGTTCCTCTGCAAAATAATATAGAATGGTGTGATTCAGGATTATGCACAACAAACAARCAGACTGTCAGTTATACATGGCTTATTGCCATGAAAGACACAAACTTTAAGGCCTTTTAAGAGCACAGGAAAATTACTGTTCTGAAACACTACAAATCTGTTAATTATTAAAAGATGCCTTATGAACAGGAATCCAGGCTAATTTTTAATTAAAGCATACACAATTCTCACCTAAATTTACTCTTGTGGTTTCATATCATCATTCTGCTTTCTAAAAAAATTTAAAGAGCAAATGGTTACTGTTAATGCCAGTAGATCTAGCATTTTTTTTAACTCCTTCTGGTAGGCAAAACATAATCTATCGATCCTTTACTGAAAAAATGCRTATTTCTTAAAAGAGTTACGTGAATTCACTGAGTCTTGTTTTTGCTTGTTATGCTATAGTTAAGCCATACTGTAAACATACCCATTTTAAAATTAGATAGAAAATACTTTACTCCATGGAACTGTTATTCTAATTCATACAGTAAAACAGAAAATGATTCATCAAAACATACTTTTGTTCATACTAAGTGAACCACCTAGCATGTTTTAACAACAGTTAAGGTTAAGAACCTAAGGATTTATAGTATTTTAGAACTTTATACAATGTGTTTTCTTGGAAAAAAATGCCCAACCTACAATAAGTTCTACAAATTTGTGCAGAATGCTTTTGGTTTGTACATATCAAACAAAATTTTTATATGGATTTCATTATTCCTACCTTCTAAATATTTAGAGATTTTCTCCAGTCGGACTGGCATGTGAAAGTAAAAATAAAAATTAGACATATAAATATCAATGCATGTATAATCTATAACTGGCCAAATTTTAAAAATAGGTAAAATAGTCCAACCTGAGGTTAAATCAGAACTCCTTCCACTCTTTTTGTCTTCTACAATTTCATAAAATGGACCTATGACATGTAGCAATTCTTCAACTTTTTCAGTCATTGGCATAGTTTCAAGAATCTGTAATCAAAAGAGACAAATATTGTAAAATTACAAACTATTAATTTGTCCTGAATTAATATTAAATAGCTTATGGTTTCCAATTTATTAATAATTTGGAAATCTGAAGTTCATTAATAAATTCTCTTAAGAATCTATATTAATTATATGCCTAATATATACATACTCCTAGAAAAGTTGTAAGTATATTAAAGATCTAAAAAGTATTCTTGGGCTGGGGATGTGGCTCAAGCGGTAGCGCGCTCGCCTAGCATGCGTGCGGCCCGGGTTCGATCCTCAGCAGCACCACATACCAACAAAGATGTTGTGTCCGCCGAGAACTAAGAAAAAATAAAATAAAATGTTAAAATT